CGAACAGGGAATGTGTCCTACAGATAAGTTCTTGCAAGACAGCAGAGCATACACCAGAGTTACAAAAGTAGCAAGTACAAAGTCAATTGAATGGCATGCAATTATCTCCCAATTTATAAAGCGTATTTTTCAACCCCCATAGCATTTTATGGAATTGCGAGTTATATTAAGGAATCCCACTCCACCTACTACTGACCTTCCTCTGGCTAAAAATAACCTCTGAAAAAAACAGGATGATTCTAACTACCAGCTCATAAAGATAGTTGACCTTCTGTGGAGAAAACAGATTTGTGTATTAACATGTCACATTCCTATTCCGAAAGAAATAGGAGTACTATAAAACTAGCCCGTGTTTGTTTAGAATTAGCTGTATCGGGACAAACGGCTTTGTAAACCCAAAGTGGCAGATACGGGTTTATTTAGATATTTTAAATGTTTTTCTCCCCACTCAACAGCTGCAGCTAACTGAAATGCAAATATCAATCTGGTTTCCCTAGGATGTCTTTAGTTTTTCATGAATGGAACTTATAAGTTACATGTAGAATTTATTTCTGTAATTCTATAAATCTACCTGGAGTTTGGATATTTACATGCATGAAAAAGTGGCCTTCCTCTCCTCTCATAAACTGCACATAGAAAAAGCCTTTTTCACAAAAAGAAGTCTATTTAGTGCTTTCAGGTTCCTAGCAGTCTGGGAGGGAATAGTCTGATTCCAGAAACTGGAAGGGAAAAGTCAAACCTTAATAAATTAAATAGAAGTGGTAATTTTTTTTGGAAGAACTCTGCTATCGTTTAACTAAACAAGGCTCAGGCAGGAAATCCGACTGAGCCTGGAAAGATTTCTGTTTTAGGCAAAAAGCATTCAGTTTTATTGGTGGGTTTCAGCCGTGGTTTCCACATGGCTTCCTTTCCCACCCAGGGAATACAAAGGAAATACAAGAGGTGGTCAAGAAAGGACAGGGATCTGTGAGTGACAGGAAAAATCTGGTGTTTTATGTATATCTATATATAAATGTATGTAAATGTATAAACATATATATATATATATTTTTTTTTTTTTTTTACTTTATTTCTTTTAGTAATTTCTTCATTTAAATGTATAAAGGCATTTGGAATCCAAAGCAGCAGACAGGCAAATGTCTATGAGGGCTTTTTAAAGTGCCTAACTGTCTCAATTGATAACAAATAATTATGATAGAAAACCGATTGCTTTTTAGTTTCTAAGGGCCTGCAAGTAATTTTTGTTTTAGAAAACAGACTTAAGGTAGTAAAATATTTTGAAAATTTTACCTACTATGTCTCCCTTGTCTGAAAGCATTGAGCAGATCTGGAAAGAAGCCAAAACTGATATTAAGATGTCTGTAATGTCATCTCTAAATTGCTTAAAGATAAAGTTCTAGTGAGGTGTAATTTCCTATTCTGTAAGGCTTGTACTAAGAATCCTTGACTTTGATATGATTTAACCTTATTCTGACACGTATCTGTAAAACAAATGAATATTTTATAATAAAAAGTAGAAGCATCATGATATTTTAGGGGGAAAAAAAAAATCAGTAGCTCATAATTCTAAGTGCACAGTTTAAGCCACCTTCAAGGCAATTTACATGAACTGAAATCAGGTCCTTTTAAGATTCCTCAAAGAGAGCAGAGAAAAAACCTTGTGTGATAATTAGAGAAAGAGCTTACATAGGGCTGTCCAAATATTCACACCTCTCCTTGAGTGCAGGCGGGTAATACATTGGAAAGGCGGGCCCATAAATGTGCATTATGCAACGTAACAAAGACATAAGTGTCAGACTTGCCTGAATTAACGTTGCCTGCCCGGGAGGTGGGTGGGAGGGAAGCAGAGGATGAGGGTGGTGGCACTCCCAGCGCTGGTGCAGCCGGCGCTGTAAATCCCACGGCGCCGGGTCCGCTGTGTCAAGGACGGGGGAAAGCCTCGAGGAGTTGCTGAGGCAGGAGAAGCCGAGTCAGTGCACGACTTGAAATACATGGCAGAGGTTGTCGAAGGGCAGGTTTTTGGCTCAGAAAGTGGGAAAGAGGATTTAAGGAAAGAAGAAAAGCGCGCTCTGTCATACACCATCAGAAGTGTTTATTCTGCGCAGTGAGAAGAACCTATAATAAGGTGTGTGCACATCAATTTTTTAAAAACAATTCCAACAAATACAGACTTTGACCTGCCTCACCACCCCCCACCCCCCCCCCCCCCAACAAAAATACCTCGTGTAATCAAAATTAATTTTGATTCCTTTTTCTTCAACACCAAGTTTTTGTTCAAGTGGATTTGTCATTAACATGTAGGAGGGGAAAGAGAAAGAAAAAAAAAAAAAACCTTGGGCAAGACAATGAAGTTTTTCCTCAGCTCGACAAAGAGGACGCCTTTTGTTTTGAAATACTACAGAAATGATAATAAGTCTTATAAAAGTTATCCAGTCACTGGATCACTGAACACTTCAGAATCTGTGTCACTTGCAAATCCTTATTTATTTTTGGCAGTTTTTCTAGATAGGATAGTGATGGAGGAATCGAGTCCATAGACAGGTCCACACCTTTGCAGACACACTAAAAGGATGAACTGGAAGGAAAAAGAGAAAAAAAAGACAATGTAAGAAATGTTGTCTGACAGGGAAATTCCTAACCCAAGAATATACACTTAAACAACAAAAAAAAAAGTCTCTGAAGTGACAATTCCTGGCAGATTTATGTAGAGGTGTTTGAGCTAATATAATGATGGACAGACTAACTGTTAAAGCTAAGTTTCATGGTCTGATATGGATGAGGATACAGTGAGGTGATCGTATGAGATTTCAGCTCTTTGGGAAAGAGAGCATCCACTGGTAAGAGAGAGATGGCACTGCAGTCTGAGAACTAAAATGGCAAAGCTCAATTGCGTGTGCAAAGAGAACTTCTCCTGACACCAGAGGCGAACTTAATCTTACTTAACTACAATAAAATTAGACACTTAGTCTCTACTGATTTATGTACCTATGTTGTACCTGTTTTACACAGCTGTCACACACTCACACAGCTATTACAAACATCAATTTTAAACCCATTATAAGCATAATTTGCTACTGATGGAAACTAAATGACTAGTTTGGACTTGATGTCTAACTTTAAGGTGGCCCAGCTTAGTGGAAATGAGCACCCTGCACCGAATTTATTCTCGGCTGATCGTTCTGGAGGTGAGTAATGTTCCCCCGTCTCACGGGCTCTGCCCGTTGCGTGCTTCTCAGATGCACTACGCTGGCTCAAAATTTAACATGAATGGGAAGGAAAAGGAGGAGAGGGAAGGAAGAGGAGAAAATATTCAGCTTCTGCTTTTGTATTCAGGGCATGTCCCCCACTGCCTTATTATCACATCAGAGAGTCTGGACCCATGAGCACTTTCATTATGCAACATTTTCGTCCCCCAAGAATTTATAATTCCGCCATCTTAATTTGTTTTGGGGACACTTGGCAGTCTGATTCCCTATCAGAGAGAAAATTTGTTCTATTAGAAAACATATATGAGAAGTTAATCTGGCAACTTTATTTTAGACCTTGAGACGTCAATGCATAATTTAGAAGGTTTTAGATTCCGTTCTGATTGCTTCTCGCTCAAAGACAACCTCAATTATACAGGCTTGGTTTTCTGAGGGCTGAAGCCCTGCCTTAATCATCAAATATGCTGCCATTGGCCCTGACGCCCGTGTCTGGCCTGTAGGGTTTTCTATTTCTTGTAGCCAGCAAGGCGGGAGGATGGAGCCGAGACCAGAAATGGTGCGGGTCTGCGGGATGCTGGAGGTGGGGGATGGCCGGCAGCTCCAGCCATGGCAGAGCACTGACCAGGAGAGATGGGGGGCAGAAATCACCGCTCGGTAATAGTAACCAAACTAGTGATGGATTTCCAGCAGTGCTGGGGCTACACGGTCCTTGAACCTCACAGATTATGCCTTATGAAACCAGCTCTTGGGGGCCAACCGGGTCTTCTGGAATTAATAGGAAGACCCCCACGGGTCTCCATGGTCAGTGGGTCAGGTCCTCGGTGCGGCAAGGCTCCTTCAGACCTCTGCAGGAATCCGTATTTCCAGGGAATGGGAGCAAACTGCAGCTGCAGCCCTCCAGTATGTAAAACTCCTATTGATTTACAGCCTGCACCACATGGAGGTATTGTGGAGATGAATCCTGTAGTCTATGAATAGCAAAGAAGGGCCAGCATTATTTTTTTCCCAGCTACAGACCCCTTGCCATGAATAAATGTTTCATTTTTATGGCATTTGTTTTGCCGGTCTTCAAGAATCCCAACAATTATGTGATCAGTGATATGAAAGGCATAAAGGAAATCGAGAACATTTACAGCTAGCTCACAAAGGCTCCTCTATAATACGGTGGTCCAGAGAAATTCTGTGTTGATAGGTCCTATTACAAGTGGAAGGAATGAAACTTTGAAATACTGTTATTTCATCTTTATATGACACATAATGAAGTCAATTCAAATGTCAGTTTTCAATGGAACACGAGATCTCTCGGAAATGTGATGCCCATTCAAACTTAAAAAATAACAAGAAGGTATAAAAATATTCGGTGTGTTTTAAGGACATGATGCTATTACAGAGCTGAGAGTTTGAAAGATTAATTATTTCTTTTTTTCCTAAATGAAAAGCTAAGAACAAGAAATAATTTCCCAGATTTTATGGTATTTGTCTCATTTCATTGAAAAACTCCAGAGACCAATATTGTGATTATTTAGCTTTTAATCAAGAAGTTATGAAGTCATCTTTTAATTAATGATGAGTCAGTTCTAGTGCATTTTAACAGCTAAAATTTCATCAGATATTTGATTTAGATATTCTTCTCTGACCGAGCCTTACTTATCCAAAACTCTTTTCAGACTAATCTTTAGCATTATCACTGCTAAAAAGTTAAAAGAGTGCGAATTTGCAACAAAGTACATAATTGACTTCCCATCCCACTTCCTCCCCCCCTGCTCCCCCCCAAAAAAAGACCAAAAACCCACATGTAAGGTTCCTTTTATTTGGAATTGAGTTTGCCCTAGCTCATTTTGAAGAGTCCTCCTGGTCTAAACATAAGAACTAGAAAAATTACTTTAGGAAAACAAAACAAAATTAAAACCTTCCCTCAGCCCCTCTCATCTTCAACAACTATAGCTGAGAAATGAAATACCATCTCCTTTTCAGCTCACCTAATTTTAGATCTATACAGCTGAGCTCTCCCTCTGAACGAGTTGTCTATTGTCCTTTTACAATCAATAGAGAGGAAGAGGCAAGATTAATCTCACTCATTTAAGAAGTCTGCTTTGTGATGAGATGAATGGTGTCCTAGAAGCACTATTTCCCTTCATCACCTATAAAATAAAGTAGATGTCTCACTTATGGGAGATGAATCTCATTTCAATATTTAAAAGCAAAGAGGAGACGGGGCAATGCTTGTCTTTCGGGCTTTCCCGTGTGTTCGTGTACGTCTCTGAGTGGGTAGGCCGGTGCAGCACTGGTGGGGCCGGGCATGTCGTGCTCCTGCGGTGGCTGGGCGGGGGGCCCCCATCTTTTTCCTCTCCTCACCCCTGCTGTGGGTCTTCCCGCAGAAGGAGCGAGGGCTGAAGTGGAGAGCAGGACCACAGGAGGCCGTGCAGGGACTCGGTGCCGGTGGCACCCTTGGCCTCTCCTCTGTGCAACCCCACGGGGCCAGGGAGGGGAGCGCCAGCTCCTCGCGGGGCTGAGGGACCTGCGCCAGGGCACCGCTGGGACCGAGGGGAGGGCTGGAACCCTGCGGAGGGAGGAAGCAGCCAGGCACGTTCAGCTGGGCGGTGGTGGGGGAAAGGGATGGAGGCCAGGCGAGAGGGAATACTGTGCGGTCAGCTGGGGCCAGAGGACCCTCATCAGCAAGTGCCACTGCTGCCGAGCTGGGAGCGGGATGGGTGGCACCAGGATAGCTCTGGGAAGCCCTGGACTTGTCAGTCCAAAATAAGCTAGTGTCGTGATCTTGGCGGACAGTCTCATGATTCAGGAGCTGGGAAATGCTAAGATAGATATCTACATGTGTCAACGGATTTGAGGCCTAAATTAACTTGTTCTAGTGCTCTTGAATCCCACAGTCCATGATGTGCACTGTTTTGTGCTTCCTGAGGCTAGCTCTCACGCGTTTCAACTCATGGTGCAACCCCAACATCCAGCTCTGCCTCCTGCACTGGGAGGTAAGGATCAAACCCATAGGGAGGGGAAAGCACAAAGCCCCTGCAGCATCTGAAATGGCTTATGCCGAGGGTGGGGAAGCCTGGAAACGAAAACCTACTCCCTTTTGTGCTGCATAAAGAACATGTAGCAAAGCTTTGCCAGCTTTCGTTTTCTTGAGAAAAAGTGTTACAAGGCTAAAATGCCTAAGTGGTATTTATTCCCTCAGCTTAAATTTCCCAGCGAGCTTCTGCCCAGTCTTGTCGACCTTGCCCACACGGATCAGAGAAGAAGGCACGGTTCATAATACCATATTTTTGGTAATCCACTCTTTCATTTAAATGTGGGCACAAAAAGCAGATGTTTTAAAATCAAATGTATGTATGATCTAGATATATTGTAGGGAGATATGCAGGCACAAAAATATATGTGTCGTACATGTATATGTGATATGTAGTGGATATGCTTGTCTGTTCAGCTCCATTAAAGTCTACAGAAAGAGTTTATTCTTAGCAGACTAGTTTTTTTTTTCAAAACCTTAACAAATACCTTTGTTTATTAAAGTTGTTTTTTTTTTTTTTTCTGTAATAGCTTGCAGACTGAGACCCTAAATGACTAAATCTCTTGCTTTGAAGGCTTCAAAGCAAAAACATTGCTTTCCAGATAGAAACAAAATTGTTGATATTAGGTTACTGTCAGTACACTGCTTGCATGGCCTGCTTAGATTTTAAAAGGTTTTGATAGTGCTTTAAGGAGTCCTGTGGCACAATAACAAAATATTTGATATGATTTCACATGTCAGAGCTCTGTCCCAGCTCTGGAGACATCGCAACAGATGCGATGAAAAACCTTATCAGGCTGGCAAAGTAGCCATGTCCGAAAGACAGGCAATGGATTTCACTGAGATCTGGGAGGAGGGCCACCTTGCTGCCTTGTACCCCAACAACCCCCATGTCTCCAGTATATCAGGATATGTCTTGTTGTGAAGGGGGAAAAAAACCCAAACCAGCAGAAAAAGGAGCACAGATTGTCATCAGTTATTGCAGGAAGCCCAGGGAAGCAGGTTAGGCGAGAATTTATCCTATCTCTTTCTGTGGAGAAAGGAATGATGGTGCTTTTACACTATATGTATCTTAACCATTAGGGATCCGACTGCAAAGTGCTGAATATCCCCCTATAAAATTATAGTAAAACGTGCAGGGTTGAGGGTAAAACCAGCAAAACCAAACATGGACGAAGCCCAGCGGATGACCAACCTCACAGTCCAGCGAGAGATGTTCCCATCCTTTGCTCGTGTCCTGACAGACTGCAATTCACCAACCCGTCCTACACACAGTTTCTGGTACTTCCTGGTGAACAGAGGAACTAGGCTACGCACGAATCCTGGGCTGGATAAAGAGTAATGCCATGTAGCTCTGCTTTATTTCCTGGAAGCTGACAAAAGGGGTCGATGCTAATAACTGTCAGCACGTGCATATAAACAATTGTCGGTTTGTCGTTTTTTTGTTTTTCGTTTTTCTTTTTTTTTTTTTTTTTAATTATTATTTTGTGGTTTTGTTTGTTTGTTTTTCAATAGAAAGAGCATTATTCATGAGGTCCTCTACTGATGATCACAAGTGAATCGGAGAAGCAAGGGGTTTGACGGTGAAGGGAATTGTCCTTGTTTGGGTCCCCAGCCCTTGTGTGCTACCTGACCTTCTGCAGCTCCTGTCTCAGCCAGGAGGGCAGGGGCTGCCCCAGCCTGTGCAGCAGCTTGGACAACTCCACGTTGTGGTCTCTGTAGTAGCTTGACAGAAACGCTCGAGACTGAGAAGGGTGAAAAAAAACAACACAATAAGAGTCAAAGAAGGAAACCCACCTGATGGCAGATTTTGGCAGATGCCTTTGCCTAGGAGCTATGCACTGCTCCCAGAGAGGGGCTCTTAAGAAGGGGCAATTAAACTCCTCAAATTCTCCTCCAATTCAAAGCTCAGTTAAATTTTCTGATTTTTAAAAATGTCAAGCCAGCGAAAATTTAAAAAAAAAAAAAAAAACAACCAAAAAACCCCCTGTGTGTTTACTTTAGATGTCAAACACAGGGTCAATATTAAAAAGTGTTAAATCTCTGGAAAGCCCTTACCTCTTGGTCCATCGGTGGATATTTTCGACCTTTGCTTTTGCCCAGGCACTTTGTTTTCCCTCCTTCCAATAACTGGCACCAAAAGCCTTTCAGAGGGTCAAACCTATAAAGGATTATATTTTTTGAAAGACCTCACTACAGAATAATCTCCCAGCTACTAAGACATCAGTGTTAGACAACAATTATTGCTGCACACATCTCTCTAGATGACTGAAATACTGAGGACAGAGTGGGAAACAGCTTTCCTCTCTTGTGAAAGCTCTGGGAATTTATTTTTTCCACAAATTTGTCTTGGGAGCAGACCAAGGCAAGAGATTTTTCACATTGTGCTTTACCTATACTGGCCAAGTTTTATTCTACTTGTCCACCGTACAAGTTTTAAACACTGACCTGTAGGATGCTAGTTGAGGTCCTGAGCCTCAGTCTCAAGGATCTTACATGGCCCCACTCCAGTTTGTGACTCATATTTTATTGTCTGGTTTTGGTCAGAGATTTTGTTCATGTCAAACTGCTCCGTGTATCCCAGTGGGATGCTAATGCTTTGATCAACTGACACTCTAACAAGCACCATTTTGTGGAAAAAATGACTAATCAGCTCTTCCTGGAATTATATGCGCTGTTTCTCAAGGACGTTATTAGCTGTGCTCAAGGAAAGGTCTCCAGTTCTTGCTATGGTAGGTCAACTCTGTCAAGGTGAGAGGGGTTAAAAAGGGCAAGAGGATCTATTTGCTGACTTCAGCAGGCACAGGCTCAATACCTAAGTCTATTTTTACAGCAAGGTGTGTGATTGTTGAATGAATACCAAATGATGAGAAATATAATATTGTAATGTTTTATGTTGCTTTTTGAGTGAAATAAGCAGCGTTCAGGTCTACTGAAAGAACTGCTGATTGGCTGTTGATAATTTAACGGTACCTGAGAAGCTGGTTGTTCCCTATCATTAGATCTAAATACCATTTTCATTCCAAAGATGGCATTATAGCATAAACACTGTCTTAGCAGTTTTATCTGAAATACGCAATTTGATTTTGATGTCTAAAATTCAGAGATATAGGAATTTTAGATTAAGGCTTTAAAACACGTACTCACTAAGGAATGAACAACACGCAGTGTTAAGTTTTGAATTTATTGCTGTGGGACTTGCAGCATGCATAAAACATTGAAAAGGTTCGCATTTTTGCTATTCAGCAGATGTTTGAAAAGGATGAAGTATAATTGGCTGGAACACGAAGTTAATTAGTTACAGACTACCTTTTTGCCCTGGGTCTATCCATATGACATGGGTGCACCTGCAATTTGCTGCTGTACACAAGTAAATGAATTTCTGGAGAAGGGTGAACCTTCTTCACATTTTTTTCTTGCCCAGCCTATTATTGCAGGCCTGACCCTTCTTTCCTAAATTGCCTCAGTAGCTGTATCAATTAAAAATAAATAAATCATTGATTAAATGGATATATCGATGATAGATTCATTTCTACTTTGGCCTTTTCCATCTGCTCATTGCACGAAACACTTAGCTGGCTTGCACTAATTTCCCAAGAGAAGCAGCAATATAGTGTGCTGGGTAAAAAGGAAAACTACAAAACTATGCCCCAAACAATATTTTTGCCTCAGAAGGAGCATATTAAACATTATTAAGAGAATGTTCAAATTTGGGTAGGGGAAAAGAGGGTAAGACAGCTCAGACTGAATTCAACCCATTGCGTTTTCTTATTATGAAACTCTTAGAACTCCTGAAAACCTAACTGGGCATGATGGAAGTATTTATTTAAAAACAGTAATAGCCTTAAGGCTAAAGTTACAAGGGAGTTTTTTAAAACTGTTGGCAGAAACCTCTCCTCCAGGCCGGGTTATCTTTTCTTCCCTTGCAGAGTCGGCCTGTGGGAGGTGCAGGGTTGAGCCTAACACCCGTACCCCACCTCTCGGGAAGTCGGTACCTGCTGCTCGAGGTGGGGAGGGTGCCTGAGAGGGCAGGGCTACGTGATGCCACCATGAGGACCTTTCTCCTATTCTCTGCCAAAATGTAGCAGCAGTCCAAGAGAAAACATTTACTTAAGCGTGCTCCCCTAGCCCTGTCTTTTCCTTTCCTCCTGCTGTTCACACAAGGGAAAACAAGGGCAATCTCCCCTGGGAGGCTGGATGCAGAGCTGCCTCTGTGGGCAGAGCGTGGTGTGATGAGCTGGGCTGGAGGAATTGGCATTTTGGCTGTCCTTTGTCAAAGCCAAGCTCTGTCCTTCCTCCCACCTTTGCTGCCTGCTGAGAAAAACAAAGGAAGAAGGGAATCACTGGCCCATGCTACCCTGCACCGTAAGTCATCATGATGGGCATGAAACACATCTTCCTAGCAGTCAGTGGAGCTTTGGTAGGGCCATCCTGTGATGAAAAGGAAAAGTCTTTTGTAACTTTAGTCCCATGTGGCCTAGGTTTCTGTTCATTAAGTTCAGGTATTTAAAAAATGTAAGCCCCCCCTTCACTCCTTGTGAAAACGAGTGGGTGAGGGAGAGGTGGGAACCATCTCTTCAGTGCTGTAGTGGGAACTTCATGAAGACCACTGACTGTTTCCTTCTCTTGGCCCTTTGTGTGGGGATCCCAATGTCTTTCTGTTGGTGACGTTATGTGTAAAAGCTTTGCAATGCTAGTTGATTTTCCCACTTTGTTTTCACTACTCTAATAAAAAGTGGAGGTCATAGAATTATAGCATCTCAGAATAGTTTGGGTTGGAAGGGGACTTTAGAGCCCATCCAGTCCCACCCCCCCTCCCCCGGGCAGGGCCCCCTTCCCCCAGCCCAGGGGGCTCCCAGCCCCGTCCAACCTGGCCTTGAACCCTTCCAGGGAGGGGGCAGCCACAGCTGCTCTGGTCACCCTGGGCCAACGCCTCACCCCCCTCATCATAAAAAATTTCTTCCTTATATCTAGTCCGAATCCAGGTCCTCTTTAGCAGCGCGTGCAAGAAGTGACAACCGATTTGCCCGTCTCAGCTGTGGCTCTTACTAACCCGGCGTGATGTGCACTTCTCTCCAGATGCCTGAGCCCTGCCTCTGTCCCCACTCTGATCTCTTTCCACGGCTCTGATTAGTACCTGCCTTCTGCCTGGGTTGATATTACTCTCCTATAAGAAATTCACATAATTACTCAGAGTGATGAACTTGTTGCTTACTAGTGTTTGCAGGACTGAGTCCTTAGGCTGCTTTGTGACAACTTTAAAAATGTGTGGTATACAGTTACTAAGCAGTAATGACTAGGAACAATCCTATGCAATCTTTTTTACGTTGACAGCTGTACCATAAACCAACTACATTGTTTAATGCATTTTTCTCTCCCATCCTAAATCTGTACAGAAGTTTGTACTTCTACAGCACATTTGCATTCTTGATGCCTCTAAACAGTGATTGCATAATTTTATAGATCTGTTTACAATCCATTTTTCCTGTCCAAACAAATATGAGAGGCCAAATTTTTTCCTGTTGTGTGACTCCGCTGACTTTAATTTAGTTACAGAAAGGAAGATATATGTATGTGGGTGTGTATTTTTAAAAACCTAGCAGAAGGCACTGCAGATGTGCAGCAGCAGTTGTTCAAACATCAGTAGTTCAGCTGTGTATTCAAACTCCTCCTATTTCATCCACTTCAAAAACCAATTACTTAAAAATGACATTCTGAAATCCAAAATTTTTCCTCTAGAAAAAGGTTTTGGCAGAGCAACGTTCTTAAGACCCAAGGAGCAGCAAGCACTCAACTCTCACTTTATGCCTATTATATAAATAACCATAACCCTCCCAGCGGAGGAAACATTAAATAATAATCATAAGCAGAGCGGAGGCGGTGTGAGGCGGATGGAAAGCCCATGGTCCCATTTTCTCACAGTTTTCCTGGTACCAGCCTGCAGGGAAGGTAAGATACGAGCTTTTCTACTTCCCACCCCATGTGCAGGCTCATGCTCTCTGCTTGCTCGCTGACTTGGGAAACCATCTGCCGCAGTGCCAGGCTTCCCGGCCCACGGACGTCCCGGGGATCGCCCAGCCCAGCGCTCCTGGCTGTAAGGAGGGATGATCACAAGGAGAGGCTCAGAGAGAAAGCTTCTTACAGTTTCCTCCTGGACTAAGGGAAACTCAGCCCACTCCCGCCTCTGCAGAGGCTCTGCCTTCCTGCGGGGAATTGAGGAATGTCCAAGAGACAGTGCCACACAGGCCGGTAATCCCCTGCCGTGGGGAAAGCCTCCACCCACTGGGTAATGAGGATGAGAAATGTGATCCGGGCTCCTCACAGCTGCCTTTGGTAGATCTGAACCAAAGGCGGTGGGAGGTCAACCCAAGGGTTTTTCCTAAATTCAGGGGACCTTGATTTGGACTCCTGCACAGCACCCACAGTTTTGGCACCGGCACCCCAAGCTGCCCAGTCCAAGGGTTTTGTGCTTCATGGGCAGATATGAGCTTCTCCCCACTCTCCAGGAGCTGCACTTGAGCCTGGCACTTCCAGGTTAGGGATCTACTATTAGTAGCTTATAATTTTACCAAACTAAGTATACAGACTAAATTCTTCCGTGCCACGTGTCTGGCTACTACCAGGTAAAAGGTCGGCAGAAATGGCTCAAAGATATATGAAAATGGGATTAGGGAATGATATATTTGGTTCACAATCAAAGAAACCCCGTGACCAGATGAATCTTATCACACTGAGTGCTTCTAACCCAACCTCTGTCATTAGACTCCTATATGAGTGTGATAAAAATGTTTAAGCCAAACTTTTCACACCTGCCACTAAGTAGTCTTCAGCTTCTGGAGTCTGTCATAAGGTTCAACAGTCTGATGTGCAAATGTGGGCTGAGCTCTTGCATGCACAACTCACATCAGCGGAATGCACATTTTAAACAGCACAGCGATGAAAGCAAAACTAGGTACCCCGAGAAAGCAAGTCCCAGTCATCTCTGATTGAACATTCAAACTTAGCAGACATTTTAAACATGAACCCGGGCCTTTGTTCTGCATCTAATACAAAATACTGAACAGTCATTTGTTCTGTATGCTGTGCAAAGCAGAGTTTGCTTGTGGAAATGTATGCAATCATACAATTAAATTCCGTAACGTATTATAGATATGTAAGTTGAGGGAAAACTGGATAGGTGTTAAACATGACTTTAAGAAAACTCGAAGCTTTGCAAAAGTGTTGTTGTTGCAATGTGCTGTTTGCTTGTTTGTTTGTAATTAATGATCAAGTGATCTTGATAGGGGTGGATGTACACTGTGATCCCATAGGGCGGATAATAAAGCAGCAGACTCACGTTAGAGCTTCGGAGTAATTATAATGAGGAGAAACTCCAAGGAACTTCTGTACTTCATCCATCACAGTAGCTGGGTCACTTCTTAGCTGCTGTCCATCAATAATAAACAACTGTAGGGGTAGATATGCTAGCTATTTAGAAACAGGACTAAGGTTAACGAAATAATGACATTATTTCCTTTTGATGACAACATGGGTTTAAAGTAGCATGTGACTTTGTACAGTGCTAATAACAAACATAGGGATAAACTTCTTTTTAGATTTTTAATTATGTTGAATTTGTATAGGTGAGCACCTTGTGACTTTGTGTGTGCACATTGTTCAAATGCAAGAGTTAAATCTCACAAGCCAAACCCGAGTGTCAGAGGACTCTGAGAAAAAGAGATAAGGAAGGAATGTGAAATTATTGTTGAGGTTTACAGTGTGTCCATTGAAAATCTGGTGTGGAATATGAAAAATAACAAAAAGCTCATATATACCTTAGAATTAAATGTTCAGAAACTAAACAGTTGCATGTTCAAAAGTGATATTGTGGCAATTTATTTGAAACTTACTACCAGCCTATCAACCACATAGGCTTGCAAAATTGTTAGCAAAGGTTTTGTTTTGTTTTGTTTTTAATTAAAGATTGATGTGATGTAAAGGTACATTGACCTCCACGAGCAAATGTTAAGACAATGTATCAAGAGTCTACTGGAGTAACAAGCAGTATTACTAATAACTATTCTGGGCAGACGTGCTTTATATTTATTGTGAAGGCTTATTATGAATTATTAAGTTTTTGAGTGCACAGGCAGAGTGAATGTACATTACTGAGTGCCCATTAGTAAGCACCGTGAGTGCACTCTCTGTGTGCACCTTATTAAGAATGAGTGTATTTTGTTGTGTATCTTGTAAAATTAATCACTATAACTATGAAACATGAGTGGTTACCGGTTTTACAAGAAATATGACAGTGTGCCCCTGAATGTTTAATAAAAGGGCTGCACTTGCTGTTCGCTACAGCAGGAGAAGGAGAGAAATCTCCCTGGGAAGTGGCCGAGAAGGAGCACGGGTAAGGGGGCCCGGGATGTTTGGCAACATTTGCACTCTCTGAATTTGCTGGGACAGCCCCTTCTCCTTTGGAGGAGTGAGTTGGGACGTGGTGGCTGAGGAGGATGCTCTGTTTGCTCCCAGGGTGATACTGTCTGGGGACGGCCCTCGCTGCAAGTTCAGCTGCGTTAGGCAGTACTCCTTCCCCACTTATGAAAGAGTAGAAAGGCCAGAGATAAAAGAAAAAAGTAAATGACTAACTGAGACCTTCTCCTTTCTCCTGGAAATGGGATTGACCTGCTTCTGCTCTTTGTAGTACAGCTGAGACTGTATGAAAAGGAAATTGAGGACTGCAAAAAGACAGAGCTTCTATTTCTTTTTGTTTTTTTCTTTTTTTTTTTTTTTTTTTTTACAGGTCCCTGACTAAATAAGCAACACTCAGTTCTACCTCCTTTCAGCAAAATTCTGTCCAATATAGAGCAATCTCTGGAGATACTTGTTCATTATGCTTGCTCATTAAATACCCTTTGACAACCTTTTCTTACAGTAGGTAGACATATGAACTGAGCTATGGACCACATCCACGGCTAAAGAGTGCCCATGCATATATTTTGTAGTACTACAATATTTGCTTTATGTTTCTATCTGTAAACAATTTTTTTTCAGCAATGGGAATATTCTTTAGGTCTCTCTGTTTGCATATTTTCTTCATGGGAAAGATTATAAAAGACAATTCAATAAAACATCTGAAGAAAGATGGGGCAAAAGAAAGAATTTCTGCTATAACACTGAGAAAGACTAATTCCATATCAGGATCAAACAAATGTGAAATTTTCTATGAGAGGGAGTGAGTGGGAAGTGGAATGAAATTACTTTTTAGAAAAAGCCCTGGCATTTTCTGATTGAATTTGTCAAACCTTCCCACAATGTCTCATGCTGCAGCTACTTGTTTCTTGGGACCCAGAAGCCAAATGTGGCCACAGTTCATAGCATTTTCCTGTTGCTTCTTTTCCATCGGAAGGCAGAAAAATCATGACACTTCTGCCAGATATCCTGCTCTTGTCAAATCTGCATTTCCTAACAGCTAAGAGTTCCAGTGGGAAATATCCCATTAGCTCTGATGATGGGGCCATACTCATTGTGGGACTTTCGGAGAGTTGATGAGGTTGGTGAAACAACAGGTTGGAAATTACCTGTGAAGCAGGGTAATGAGTTAACCATCTTTCGATATGGACAGCGTACCATCCGGGTGTCAGGCATCTCTTCTGGAGAGTCCTTATCTCCGAGGGTGCCCAATGGCTGGATGTAATGACTTCATAAAAATTGAATTTCAGGGCAGTGGGGTCCTCGTGGGATCGCTGATGCTAGCGGGAGATATTTAGACACGTATCACAGGGGTGCGGAAGATTAAGCCGTTAAGCCCCCTGAGAGCTGTTGGAAGTGTTGTGCTGGCACAGCCAGCCCAGCTGTAGTCCACAGCAGCCCACTGGCCCCCCACCAGTGCCACTTCTGCTGGGAAGGAGCAGGGGCGGGTGACAAGGAAGCAGGATGGCACAGTTTTTTTCCATCTCGCATTGGTGGTTGTAAAGGTGCAAATAAGATATCAAAAAGGGTGCAAACTGCAGCCCTGGGCCATGTTTTATTCCTTGCAAAATTCATAACAACAGTATCAGAAATGGTGTATTTTATGCTTATTGTGACATTATTAATTTCTGTCTGTTTTAACACTGCTTTTAGTGTTTACTTTATCCGTACGACTACACCATATTTTACATGCATGCTTAAACATCTCTTTAAAAATATATATTTTTTTAAATAGTGCAGACATTATAGAAAGGTGTTAGCTCAGTAAAAGCAAGAAAGAGCATCCTAGAGTTTCCTTGGGAAAACAGCAGGCTTTCTTTTGTTTCCAAGGAGAGGAAAAAAAATAACCAACTCTCCAGACACAGCTCTTTTTAACTCCTTGGAAACTTTGAAAGACGCTGCGTACATTTGTAGACTACCACACATTGCTCAGCTTATGTGCTGGAGGATGGGCTGAGGTACCAGATTCTCAGCATCAGGAGCTCTGATTTTCTAGCTAGGCCATGCTCATTTTCCCCTGTGTATCTCCCTGGGACAGGAGCACTGCTTTTCCTCTATGCAGTGTCAGCTGTAATTGAGATTAAACTGTTTGTTTACAGATGGTGGCAGCTCTGTGCTGAGAAGTTTCATCACTTATGACACTGGTGTCACAGGTGCCAACTGCAAAAGCTGGCATTCAGCTTCCTTCCACTTCTACATGGCGCAAATGCTTTGTAATAAATCCCATTTTTTCTCAAGGACACAAATTCCCACCGATGGCCATCACACCCTGCCACTGATTTCGCTCGAAGGCAAGGTCTGTACCTGGTACCAGGAATACGCCCGATCAGATGGGTCGATGAGGATGGTGATGATCTTGGCCTTGGGGATGAGGGAAGCAGCTCGCTTCGGGGCTTCCTCGGAATGGAAATAGTTGGCACTTTTCTCAAAGAGGAGGTTGGTGGTGACGTTGGAAGGAGTGGGGAAGAAATCCATGTACCTGCAAGGTGAAGAAATTTATTAGAATCAGAAATATCACAAAAGGCTCATATCCTTGTGCTTCCCATTTCATGGTAGGTGAAAAGGTGAATTTTCAAACATCATTCTCAAGAAGCAATATTGAATTTCTCAGCTCACTCCAGAACTCGAACAGGGAAAAAACATCTTGGCTCTTACATGGTGTTGGTAATAGCTAAAACCTCCGTGAAGTCAGGTAATTAGGTTTTTTCCTTTAACGGATGGGATTTTTGCTAATAAGTTCAGTGTCAAAGGGCTATCTTTCACCAGTTTGGAGTTGGTTCAGTTTTAACTGCAGAAAAAAATGGGAAAAGCTTCAAAATATCAACCATTTAATTTTAACATGGTTGAAATATTTCATTTTGGATCCAACAAATCTTTTATTTTAGATGTTTTCAGAACGCAAGATTTGAATTTTGGTTTTGAACGATCTTTTCCACTTAAAATTGATTGGAAGTAAAGTAAAACGGAAGGTTCAACTGAAAGGGTGAAGAATTCAAACGAAGCAAATGGTGAAGTTGTTTTGGAGGCATTTTTCGGTGCCTTTAGTTTTGCTGAGCACTCCGGGGACTTCCAGTTTTGGCGGGACTAACTGTTTTCGCGTCCTTTCTACGGAAAGGAAGTATGCGGGCCCTCACCCTGCACACAGAACACTACTGGCGTTTGAACCTGCAGGCCAGTTTTGGTGAAATGTGGCAGAAGAGGTCTCAGAGAGGCCAGGCTCTTCCTCTACACGTTGTGCAAAGGGCTGCAGAGGAGAGACACCCCCCCACATCCCCATCACCCCTCTTTCTTCTCTGGACGTATTACACCATGTACTCTACGATAGCCATGGGTGAACTTTTTCTTTATACAGTAAGGAAAAACAAAACGCCAAGCATTTGTTTTCCTTTGTTGTTTATGACACTTTGAACCGAGAAGCTGGTCTCGTAGTACGGGAAGAGCCTGATTTTATCAGGCAGCCTCCTTTGCTCTGCACACTCTCCGTGCCATACTCAGGCAAGTAAATCTGCTCAAGATTAATCTGTTTCTGTGCAGTGTGATGTTTGTCTTACATTTCAGTTTTCACACAAGGATCAGAACTGCTGTTCCCTGTGGAAATGAAAGTCTTACCAAAATGCTTTTCTTAAGCAAAAATAGTAAAAGCAATATTTGAAATTGTGGTAAGAATACCAGCTGAAATGCTTTACAGTGGGCTTTTTGTCATAAAGAGACAAATCGAATCTTACTTCATGAAAAGCCGCTTTTGAAGAAAAATACTATAATTCTGTGTAGAGAAAGTTACGAAAAGACAGATGTTATTCAGTGTGAGGACAGACATCATAACTGAGCTATTACATTAATTTGTAATAAAAATAAGAAAATTGTTACTGTAATATCTAAACAAAATCTAGGACTTGATTAAATGTCCCGTCATTATAAATTAGTTTCTCTTTCTGTCTGATAATGCCAAGCATAACAAATTCAGCCAGTAATTATGTCGATGTCATACATGCTTCTGTAATTGTTCCATTGTGTTTTACCATGTATTAGTAATGAACGCTTCTTTTTTGTTATTCTTACCAGTCAATTCCCTTGTGGTAGTTGTTTCCGTTGAAGAATTGAACTTCTTCAAAAGTTTTTGGACTGGGGAGATTACTGATAATGGAAGGATGCATCAGAAGAAATAAATAAAGAGCTGTTGTTCCTACGACAACAAAAAAGATGCCATTAAGAAATTGAAAAAAATCCCTTTGACTTTATTCGTTCAAGAAAGTACTTTAAGTCAATGCACGCTGAGATATACAGGAAAATTAGATTACCTCTTATAAGAAAGTTTCCTACTGATGAAATGTAAGCACAAGGGCCTTTCAAAGGTGATGGTGGGGGGTGTGTGGTGGAGATACGTGCAGACTTCTCTGCTCATCAAACTTTTCCCATTTCCAAACTCTGAATTCTGCTCTCTGACGCAAGCATGACATTGCTGTTGATGACATTGCATGTTTGACTCTATTTAACCAGTGAGGGAGTTCGGCCCGTACGTGTTTGTTTTCATATTGGCGATGCACAAAACTTTTCAAAAGCACTAATGGTGGGATTATGCCTTTCTTGTTCCCAGAAGTGCACTTTTGTTCTCTGTGTATTTTTCCTGGGAGTCTATTATTGAGGAATAAATTGTCTATTTCAGTGCTAACAAACATGTATGTAATAAGTATGCTTTAAAATCCCAGTAACAGTACTTGTTTGTTATTTATTTGGCAAAAACAACTGGAAATTATATACGGTGGTAAATGAAATCTTGGAGAAGGTGTTTTTAAACGCGCCCTTCAGTGATTTCATGCTGTGCAAACTATCACTGGATTATGAATCAAGACCCGCCGTCTCCATCACTGTTGCAGAATTTCTATATGATCTTGGATTAGTCATTTTGGATTTGCCCTGCCTCGTCACTCACTTACTGTAATATGACCACAACAGTAATAGCTATCTTGGGAGTGGGAATATGTGGCTTCATTCAAATATTACCCTGAGGTCCTCAGAGGCCTGAAAGGTGGTAAATACATTTTATTGTCAATTAGGGTCTCAAATGATGCTGAAATAATTTGTCAAAAAACTTATTAACAATCTTAACATAGGGCAGCCTGACAGCATGTTCGTTTTTGTTTTTTTTTTTTTATGGTGAGTGAATGTGATTTTACTATACAAACAGTTGACCTTTCTGTGGGCAGGGAAGGAGTTACTGTCTGCATCCTGTAGGGATTGGGAGTGCACTGTCTCTACAGCAGTGAGTTGGCTTCTGTTTACAGGACACAAATATACAGATACAAAACTGGGGGCAGGGAACGGGACGGACTAGCTTCTATTACAAATTAATTGCTTCTTACCTGTTTTCTGGGGTCCTATCACAAGAAATTTGGGTAGGTGGTCACACGTTTTGTCTCTGGACCAAATATCCCTGTGTCGTTTATCATCACATGGATTCTGAAGAAGAAAAGGGGGTTGTATATGTCACACTGGGGGTATCCTAAATGTTTGCATGCATGCAAGTATTTTCAGGATCTAAATGTTATGCACTAATGCCAGAGCCTTACACTAAATAGTAAAACCCCACATTGACCCGTAAGAGTTTACTCTTGGCAGATAGTGAGCACTCTGGTATGGATCCATGGAAGCATTCAGGTACACAGGGACCAAACTCCTGGGTATCCTTCAGGACCCATCCTTCCAGGGGTCCCTGTGAAGTTGATAACACTACACAATTGTGCAAATCCTGGAAGGACTGGTGTCAAAATCCACACCCTGTGAGACTACTGTATTTCCTTCTTTCTGTTAGTCAGCCTCATTTAATAAACTCAGAGTCCATAGGAACATAGGTAGGCACGTATGTGGTCCCTTTGACTAAAATTCAATGTGTATATAATGGTTCTTCATGACTGGGGATTAAGTTCAGTCATTAGAAAAAAAAAGGAAATAAAAAGAAGAAAAAAAAAAGATTAAAACATTGATTTAATCAAGTTTTCATACGAGATTAAAATGGAAGCCTCTGTTTGAATATCTTCAAGGCATTGCTTTCTTAGGTGACAAAATGGTTTCAGATGCATAGGATTTAGTGCCAAATTTAATTTACATAAGAACCCAAAAGGAAGGACAAAATAGAAATGTGGGATATTATTCTTCTCCTTATCTTCCTATTACTTATGAATACACAATAAAAATGTGTGAACAAAAGACCCCACAGAAAAGGTTAGGATTGACTGCTCTTTAAAGCAGTTGTCATATAGATACTGCTTTTGCCTAATATTGGCTGATAATAGAAGATACAGTTTGCTGGTGAATAAAGTTAACAAAATATCATGGAGAAAATCATTAGCTGACGTGAATCATTGCAGCTCCAGTAAACTCAATAGAAATATTATAGATTTATACTACTTTTGCTTTTGGGCCAAAAATAATAGGGAAATTTTCTGCTTCTTTTTGCCTGTGTAAGCCCAAAATAACTGCACAGATCTCCATGGTGTCACTCTGGATGTATGCCTGCATAGCTAAAAGCACAGCGTGGCACATCATATTCTGAATAAGAGAAGATCCAGATATCTGTAACAACAATTAGGAAATTACAGTGTTGAGATTACAACGAAACAGAGATAGCAAATAGTCTACGCAGAAACCCTTTTCCATTCTTAAAATAGCTGCCCGTTCTGTGTTTGCTGCGCTGACCCCGCCTGCTCGCCCTTTTCCTCTCTGTTTCATTGAAGGGGGTTCAGATTGTGGGGAATCCTCCTGTACCTTCAGTGATCCAGTATTAGTGATTCCCCATTAAGGGGGGCAATGAATCGGCATGGTTTGCCTTGAGAAAGCTCTCGCTATGGGCTGGCTCTGGGCATCTTAGAGATGTAGCAACACGATTAGTTAACACAGCGTGATGCATCAGCTCAACTATGGACAGGAGGGATGGGAAGGGAAGCTTTCTCTTGCATAAATAGCAATTAGGTGCTTTTACCATGCCTGATTTGGGGTGAGTGGAAGCTAATCCATTTCTAATCAAAAGGAGTGGTCTCTCAAGAAAATTTAAGTAGCCTAAGATGACATGCAGGAAGAAATAACATATCTGAAAGTGAAGCGGGATTTTTTTTCTTTTAATTTAACTGGGAAAGATTCTTATTTCAACAAGCAGATTGTAAGTGGAGGTGGAAGAGGATATGACATTACCTGCCAAAGAGGGTCCGTCTGCTCTGGGAAGAGCTCAAAGTACTTCTGAGCCAGCTGAACCGGGGGCAGCGTCTGCAGTTTCAGGTTAGTCGAGCTCTTAACAAAGTTGGCCAGGTTCGCAAAGGTGTATAAGCCCAGGCGGTCATTCCCATAATTAGACAAATGGGTCATGAAGATGCTGATCTGGGAGGCAAGAGAAACCTTTCAGTCGCAGGACATCAGGAGACGGCATCAGGAGATGGCTGGAAGGGCAGGCACAAGGGATCCTGGGAGCTTTGCTGAAATCTCTCTCCCCCACCCAAAACCAAAAGAAGACGACAAAAATGTTAAACTACTTGTACTTCCTACCGCTCTGTGAGGGTCAAATCTCCAAACTTGTCATGTATGCTTTAAAATCCCCCTTCTTATTCTGAGGGGGTGTATCACTCATGGGCTCCCCAGGCACTGGCGTTCAAGAGATGCTTTCAGTGATATTTTTTTTTAATTCTTCTATTTTGACTTTTTTTTTACAAACAAAATAAAAATTGTTGCTTGCATGCCTCCTGTTTACCTCATTGTTTGTCATCCCTGGGCAGGCATCCGGGAGGCACTGGCATACGTGACCCCTTGGTTAGGGGTCCCCAGCACCCCGGCACCTCTGCGGGAGCCAGCTCTATGCTCCTTGGGTGTGTGGGCAAAGCTTAATTTCAGGGCTGCTATTGATGGAATTAACATGAAAATCTAATACACTGTTTCCTCCAAATGCAGGGTCGGCTAGTTTGTTTAAAGTGGCATGGCTGTAACCAGGTGAATAAGTTCTGAAATATAAAAATTCCAAGCCTTGGTGAATGATGATATCTCAGCTAAATATCACTGTCATTGTTTTCTCCTCAAGGCCGATACAACTTCTGCCTTTTTATCAGCCTTACTATGGTTCTCCTTTGCATGGCCACTGCTTTGTAGATCTTATATTTTTGTTCAGAGGGATAAAGGGAATTTGTAAGTGTAACGTGAAGAATGTATTTCCCAGTATTTTCTTTACACGAGGTGATTAAGCTTTGTTTCATGATCGCAAAGGCCTGGTTTATCTGTAGATTATCAATATTTAGTTTTATGAAGATTCTATCAAACTGAGTGTTGGTACTTGACTGTTTTACTCAGTCCATCAGCCTAAGACAGGATGCACAATGACCGTGGAATTTAATTGTACTGTTATCAAGAAATAACATACTAGTGGTAACTGAACAGCATATATTTTTCTTCTTTTTCAGCACCATCTCTGAAGTTGACAATCAATAATATGCAGTAAAATGCAAAAAAATTCAAATTAACTAATGTGACCACAGTATTTAAACAGAACAGCATGTCAGGCAGTGCACTTCTTAATAATGATATCATGCTTCGGGGAAGCCTTGACATGAAGTAAAAAATTAGAGGTATAATGTTGTTAGAATATGGTAGTGGGAAGTTTAGCAGTTTGCCGTCCTGCCACAATGCAGGAAATTTCTGGAAAAGGAAAATAAAACATCAGCTTTGTGAAGACCACAGGTAATGATCCATTCACCTTCAGGTTGGGCCAGGTTTGGTTTTGTCTTGGTTTGTTGTTGTTTTTTTTTTTTTTTTTTTTTTTTTGTGTTTTGTTTTTTTTTTTTTGTTTTTGTTTTTGTTTGTTTGTTTGTTTGTTTGTTTGTTTTGTTTTGTTTTTTGTTTTTTTGTTTTTTCTCCTGCTGTGTCCCAAGGGGACATGGATGTAGTTTGAGAGATGCTTTGCACGACCGAGACACGGGGGATAGTGTTTAGGCTGCAGTCCTTTGAAGCCTGCAGTGTACATTAGGTACGCTGGAGACATCAAGGTGATGCTGTCCTTGCCAGGGGTAGGCTATGGCTGGGAAACCAGGTGGGCTGTCCTGGCACCCTTGTCCCTGAGACAGAGCCCTGGAAATGTTTGTCTCAGCTGGGTGGCAGCCAGGCTCCCCCGCAGCTGAACTGCTGGGAAGTGCTGAGCCTCAAATCTCGGGACCTTCACAGCTAAAATGGCTGTAAGAGGCTCAGGTGTGTCTCGGGAAGGTTGTTATCACCCATCCACGTGGCTCAGTCCCTCTGACTGTGAAGAGCTTTCCAAAACAAACTGCTGCTACCACCTGAAGATGGAGTTTGCCCTTCAGTACATTATTCCTTTGCAGTCCCAGGCTTGAGCTCTGGCAGAAGAAAGTGCTGCTGACAAAAATACTGTGTCTGCAGCACACCGTGCTGTCCTGACTTTCAGAGTAACCACAGAATAAAAAGCCACAAGCTTTCCACTTTCAAAATCTCCCTCTGCCAACATGGTGCTTCTTTAAGCCTCAGCCCACAATGTTTAAAAACATGTCCATTAGTTTGTTAAATTATTGATAGGGCTTTTAGTACTTCTATAAAGTGAAGATGGATGGAGCTTAGGAGAAAGTGTCCCTTATGGCTCATGTGCAGTGTGTTTGCACTGTGCCCACTTTATTCTACAAAAGGTAATTTATTCTTCACTTTATTCTGTTCTGAGCCTCTGTTGACCAAAGTTTGGCAACTGTACAAGATCTTTTTTCTGTCAGCTTGACTTTGCAGGTTCCAGTGACTATGCATTTTATGACTGAAAGTGTTTGACATAACCAGAGTGAACACTAAACTTGCTCTGAACTTTGTGCATGTTCATATGGGGTACCCCAGAAACTCATAAGCAAAGTAATGAATCTTATTCTTTGGGTTTCCAGTCTATTGACCTTCTTTCCCAACCCTGCCATCCCCCCTCTGCCCACCCCCCCACCCCCCCAAAAAAAAGATCCCAAAACAAAACTACCCAACACAAACATATCCTGTCTAGTTTAGAGTTCAACTCTTCAAAATGTGACACATTCTTCCTGCAGACTATTTTAAAATGATGAAAAGGAAAACACTTATAGGAAATGTTGATAGAGAATATCATCTTGTCTCTGAAGTGTTTTTTGATAAGTTGCTAAAGGATCTGTCAATGACATTTAATATTATTGCAGCAATTTCATATTATTGCAGCAAATAAAGTATGCAAGTAAATCTGCTTGCTCTTTTTGCTTTTTTTTACACTTGAATTTGAATGTGATTTTTTTTTAAATGTAAAAAGGTACTTATAGGAGATGGATATTGCCTTATTTTGAGAGTTTCATGAGGCTGTAATCCAATCCGAAAAATCCAGTCGTTCTCTTTATGGAGTCAAAAGATCTTGGACACCTCTCTTAACTTCTTTTGTTCCATTGATCTTTTCTGAATTAAAAAAACCTAAATAAGATACATTACACATGGGATAAACCCATATCTAATTCTTTCCTGTCTATCTCTGAATCAGTTGAGAGAAAGGGAGATGGGCATAAACTATTCATGTTTACAGCATGGATGTACACACAAGTTTGTTTTCATGCCAATGCATCAATCCGCAGAAAATGCAATGGTCTAGAAATGTGCTGTCCTGAGTTTGAGTGAGTGGTGGGGTTTTTTGGTGGCAGGGGAGGGGGCTATCAGGGCAGCCCCCTGTGAGAAGCTTCTCAAAGCTCCCCCAGCTCCAAGTCAGCTCTACCTCTGCACCAAAACTGAGCCACTCGGCTGTGCCTCTGCGAGAATGTATTTAAGAAGGGACGTGGGGAGGAGCAGTGGGACTGGTGAGGAGGAGTTGCTGCAGCTGCGTGAACACCAAGGTCAGTGGAGGAATGGAGGAAGACAGGAGGGGGGAGGTGTGCTGGAGCAGAGACCCCCCTGTATCCTGTGGGGAGACGGCAGGGCGGCCCCCCCCTGACACCCATGGTGATCTATGGTAGAGCAGACACTGATTTGTGGCCTGTGGCTTCTGCTCAGATGATCAAGGGTCTGTGCCTGAAGAAGGCCGGGGTCTTGTGGGAAAAGGCAGCCCCGCTGCTGTAATTCAGTGCTGGGAGGATTGCAGCATGCGGGGGTGTCCCACGCCAGAGCAGCTCGGGAAGGGCTGCAGCCGTGGGAGGGACTCCAGTTGGAGAGAGTTGGTGTCCCATGACGGAGCAGTGTGGGGAACGCTGCAGCCTGTGGGAGGAATTCATGTCGGAGGAAGTTTGTGGAGGACTGTCTCCTGTGAGAGGGGGACCGTGCTGGAGCAGGGGGAACAAGTTCCGGACACTCCCCTCACCGAAGATGAAGGCAGTGGCAGCGCTGACTGCACCCCCCATTCCCTGCCCCTGTGCCGCTGGGGGAGGAGGTAGAGATATCGGGAGCAGAGCTGAGCCCGGGAAGAAGGGAGGGGTGGGGGGAAGGTGTTCTCAAGATGTGGCAATGCTTCTCACTGTCCTACTCTGTTATGTGTTATTAGTGTCTGTAATAAATGTATGTTCTTTTTTTCTTCCCCTAATGAGTCTGCCTTTTGCTCGTGATCATAAAGGGGAATTTTTCCCCATCCCAGTCCTATCTCGAACCCCAAGCCTGGCTCTCTGTCCCTTCTCATTGCCGGAGGGGAAGGGAGAGAGAGCTGCTGCATTGTGGTTGGCTGCCAACCAGGCCTAAACCACGACATGTGCTGAGCTAGCATAATGCTGCTGCATGCCTTGAGGCTGGCGCTGGGACACACAGCGCTTAGCTGTACTGTTTTGGTGGACCCAAAAAGGCTTCAGAACCAACCTCAAGGGCAAGAGTGAGGAAACCAGTGGAAACCAATGACCATCCCCTACTGCAGTGCTCTGAGAGAAATTGGTGAATGAAAGAGAAAGAGGCTTGTTTTCATACTTTGTATGACCAGAAGTAAGCTACAGCACACAGACTGATGCTAACCAGCAGGCAGCACTTCATCAAGGTAGGGAAAATGCTTTTAGGAGGGCGTCAGGCTGCTGCTCTCTGCAATGGTGCGGTACAAAGGCAATAAATTGTTTCACATTCCTGAGGCTGGGGAAAAGGCTCTGGCTGCACTGCATCACTCTTAAGGTTACACCAGCACAAGCAACGCGAGTTACACAGACGTGCGGAGGGGCACTGAGTAAAAACCCCCTTGCGGTCCCTACACAATCTATAGCCAGTGTACTATGGGAAGTGAGGTCGGGTGTGTGTTACTTTGGCACCGGTTGTGTTTCCCCACTGGTGCCAGAACACTCACACTTTGCAGGACAAGTGATGCTGTAGCTTGTACTGATGCAGTATCTTATTAGCTTTGGCAATTTTTCTCTCCCTCTGTCCCTGTCGCTGTGATC